GTTTGTTGTTTTTTTCAGCTTTGTCTGCAACTTTTATGGCTTTCGTAGTGTTGGTGGTATATACCATGACGAAAAAAAAAATACAGTGCTGAAAAAGGGAAGAAAGGTAACACTTTACAGCTTGATTGGCTGATACACAAACAAGTAAATAATAAGGTCGGCAAAGTTGATAAAGTCGACAAAGAAACCAAAGAGGGAAAAGTTAATAAATCAGAAACCAAACCTAGAAGAATGGCTTCCCCACGTTCAAGAGGCCGTGGAAAACGTATAAGCAGTACACCAACTCGTTCATCACCTCGGATCGTACGGCGATCTGCTTCTTATCCTAACGCTGTCAATAGACACTTTGTTGATAGTATTCCCATCTTGGAAATCACACTTAGATTCGATGAAGACGAATATGACGTCTGGCGAAGGCAAGATACTGATGAAGTAAATCTTTATTATTTGTTGCGTATCAAATATCCTCGAGACGAAGACGAAGATACTTGGCTTCAAGAATTGGAAAAATTAAAGAGCGAAATTAAGGACGTTCGAGTTATTGAGGAAGGCTGGTTTGAAGGAGTTTGGTAAATAATCGCTATGCGCTCGAGTTCCTATATTTTGACTGTTACCGAAGATATAATGTTCTCTTACATTTTTTGACCTTTTTTTTTCCCTCATTCTTTAACCACTGAAAAATTCTCGCTTAATTATATAATCGACTTGAAGGGTTCCTCTCGAACGAGGTATATATTTAATTTTGGTTGACGCGGATAAAATAAGTTGCATACCATACTTCATTATCAACTAATAATATATATACATCTCTATCTGACTATTTATAGCGAAAGATATTGCCCAGAAATATAATATATATGAACATGTTGCCGCACTATTAGAGTCAGAGAATAGTTGGTTCGATACTCCCAAAAAACAACAAAATCCAAAAACCAAGGTATGCCCGCAAAATGGACAACGCAAACAGTTCATTTTCTTTTTTTTTTTGCTTTTCCTCAACGGCAATCACTAATTCTTCGGGATTCCTCAATTAAATAATACTTAGACTGAACGTGCAGCTGTAACTCACTCAGAAACACCGGAAACTCAGACGAACGGTTCCACCGAGACTCGTTCAATTCCATCTAGCCGTCATACCAATAATAATTTGCCTAATGGAAATATCAAAGCTGAAGTTGAAACCAAGACTCGAAGAACTTCTGCAAGATTGGCGCAGGCTCGCTCTCAAGCCAAGCCAGAATCTTCAAAGCGTCTTAGAGAGGATGAAAGTGAGCACGAAAATATCAAAGAAGTTGTGCAGAATTTGAAACGCAAATTAGAAACAGAGGAATACTTGAGTTATAGTGGAAGTAACAAGAGACGCGCAGTTTTTGCAGGTATCGGAGCAGCCGTTGGTGCCGGTGTCGCAGCGTTTGCCTTGAACAGTATGGGCATCGGTGTGTCTGAAATAGCGAATGGTATTAGTGACCTGACGAACAAGCTCTGGTATTGATGCCTAACGAGCAAGTTATCTTTTTTTTGTAAAATTCTAGGCGAAACACAATACGCTTGTTGCTTTGCTTTTACTTTTCAAAAATTTTTACCCCTTATATGTTTCATAGCATGATATTATCCGAATTATTATATTAGATTTTTGGGGAGGGATTTTTTTCTTTCATGCATAATCGAACGAGAGAGATGGATGGCTGTGTTGAGCCGAATTTTTTTGGTGTTCACTACAAATTGTAAATTTTTTCCCTGCCTAATTTTTTTTTTTTTTTCGCTTCGTCCACCACTTAAATTAAGCTCCGATCTTTACTTTCACCTCTCTATCATATATAAAACGTATCAGACGCTTATAAATATACTTCAAATTATATCATCAAAATCCCTTCCCATTCCTTATTCTTTACATCCTTTTAAAAATCACGTGTTATCTAGTAGTTACCACCATACTGTCTATTTATATACATATATAAACTTCGTTTTTTTTTTTTGCTTTTTTTTTTTTCTGTGAGGAGTTGTTATTAACATGCTGAACCGTAGAAGCTTTGGTCTGGTATCAAATTAAAAAAAAAGAAAAAAAAAAAGAAAAAGTACTTAAAATTTTTCTTATCCTAGATTTGTTTATTGTATACTTCTCATCGTGCATTATAGTCACGTGCGTATATTACACAAACTTCGAACATCGCATGTAGTGTTGGCGTATTTCTACGGAAAACTTATTGTCTTAAATATATTGTGCACTATGTATACTATGTCAAATATTCAAATCTATCGAAGCGTCAACACTAAATTCATATTATCGTGATCGATATCTCTCAATTCCATTCTCTAACATAGGTTTAATATTGTTGAGTGATGGCAATTTTTGGAATTCATCATCAATTTCATCTTTCGTTAATAGTCAAATAAATAATATTCTCTTAGATACCGTCGTGTCTAATACTTTTGGTTTTCACTCGATATTTCGAAATATTTACTGTATAGTTATGACATTTGAGATAATAGAATTTTTAATATTTAAAATTAAATTATTCGTGATAGATTCAATAGGTAGTGACTATAAAATTACTATTTAAACTAATTTGCAGTATATATATAGTGTAGATGTGAGCTTTTTATTGACAATTAAATCTTAAGCATGACATTAATCATCTCATACATATATATATAGATTAATGATGTTTTTATTTTAAAACTCTTTTCGCTAATCCTTTGATTATACACAAAAAAGATGTTTGCAAGAAGTTTTTTGCTTCTTTGCTAAAAAGTCTTTAATACTTTCCTTAAAACATCTTGAAGAGTGACTTCAAGAGTTGTTTCTATCCCCTTTTACATGTTTACAATCCTCTTTAATCAAAAACTTGACTTCTGATAACCAAGAATAAGTCAAGTAACACCTTTGATATCAATGGCAAGAAAGTTTCCAAAGGAAAAAGAACCAATAGTGAAGTACATGAAGGTCTGCTTCACTTTGAAACGAGAGGTACTGTATATAAAGATTTTTAATGACAGAAGGGCTTATTTTTTCCCTTCCAATTACTGTTGGATTTCTTAGAGTTATCACTTTTATGGTTTTCTAGAGAATTTTACCTATATCAATTTGACCTTGAATTTTGAGTAGCACAAATCCTTACCAAAGATGATTGATTATCACAAAACACATTGGTTTCAGAAAAAGTAAACAAGCTCCTATTAATTACACTTATGTGTTCTTATCATATCATAGGTAATGTAGAAAGGAAAGTTTTAAAAGAAGTACCTCTTCAATTATGATATTCGATCCCAAGAAACAGTTATAATATCAAAAGGTGGAATGGATTTGCCAAAAAAATTTCATCCCTTTTCTAAATTCCTTAAGTAATGAAAAGGCTTCCTAAGGTAGAAGCTGAGATTTTTTAGTTTCTCTTGAACTATCCTAATTCAGTATATGCTTAAATGAAGATTTATTCAATACTATAGGTGATGACAAAGAAGACCTCTTCTAAGGTTCAAATAAAGTAAAAAAGAATATCCCAATTAGGCAAAATCCCTTTTGAGAAAAGGCTGTGAAATGGAAAAAAATCTTTTGGAGAGCTTTGAATTGTTTTTTCTTTTTTTTAATTCAACTTCAATAATTCATTGTTTTTTAAGATAATTGACAGGGACAAACTGTTGGCAATAATTCCGATTAACTTAGAGACACTATACTAAGCTACTAGGAGAACATAATATTGTTTCCTAAATCTGACTTAGAGTACCTAGTTAAGACTTAATTTTGTTTAATCTAAACTAGCTTAGTGAACTCCTTATATTTTTAAGTAGTATAGTTCTTCAACTAATAATATACAAAGATAAGTTAATTGATATGTAAGAAGGTTTGCAGATTATTTTGATATTTTTTCAAGTATCTCAATAAAGACAAGCTATATCAATATGATTGCAAGTTAAAAATAAAAAATATATATATATATATATTTTTTTTTTGCACTCTGTCAGGCTAGTTACATATGCTTTATTAAACATTTGTAAACTGTACATATAATATGAGACGTTAAAACTAATTCTTTAACTAACTCACTCATCTTGATTGTTTTACCTTTCTAAGTGTAACTTTGGGAGTAATTTATCACTCCATTAGGAGTTCAGGTAAATACCCTTCCAACTTCTAATATCATTGCCTGCAAATTACTACTGTAGATCACTCTTTTGAGTTTTGACAAAGATTAAAACCCAACCATTTCATCCCATATTTTATCCCATCTCTTATGACCTGTTTGAGCATCACATTTTTTGATTCTTCTTCCTTTAATGGTACTTGATATGACTGATTTTCTGGTACCTTGGTCCTGTTTTTTTGCTTCTGTAGATGTGTTGACCTTTTGATCTTGTCACCTCTGTTGATTCCTAATATCCGTTTCCACTCTATCATCTTTTCACATTTGACATTCCAAATTTTCTTTCTGAAGTAATTACGTGTTTTCTTCTGTATCTTTATTATTCATTTTCTTACTTCTTTACCGATTCTCTTTCTATAACATTTCGAGTCTGCTATCTCATTCATTAGGTCTTTTTCAATCAGTCCCATATAGAAGCTGAGTATATCCCGACCAGTGTTTGAGATCCTTTCTACTAATTGAGCTATTCTCTTATCCATTTCTCCTCTTTCCATTCTGTCATCAACTGCCAGGCTTATCTCTTTTTCTTCTGACTCCTTTTTCCTATCTATCAACAGTTTGTTGAAACCTTGCATCATATCTTCTATACCTTTCTGCCAGGTTTCTTGCCACTGAGTTTTGTATACTGGACA